TTTTTTATGAAAACTTTTCATGTTTTTCTCCTAAAAGTATACAACAGTCATTTTCCTCTCAAAAAACTTTTTTTTATCAAAAGATAGCCCGTGAAAAACTAAATATTTCTATGTATAAATCAACCGGATATCGTTTAGTAGGCACATTCAATTTTTCAGTACCCATGAAAAAAAATTGTATAAAACAGCGCGTGTATTTTTCATGCATTTATACGCGTTTTTACTAAACAAACCCATTTTTCACAAACGTGCTAGAGCGCGTTTTTTTAATATGTTTTTTTCATTGAAAAACGAGGTTTTCTACGTTTAATTAATATTGACATTTGTATTTTGAGTAAAAATGTGGTTTTTTGGAGTAGAGTCTGATGTCAGTAACAAAAAGAGCGAAGGGGCACATGAATTAGATCAAGTTTTTCCTGATAAAGAAAACTTCTTCACCAAGTTATAATAGCTATAGATAAGATGATGGCCGAATAACAACTCTGTTAAATGATTTCCAAGCAAAGATTAATCATACGAACCTCGTTTTTTAATTTTAATAGTTTTCAATAATCGCTAGTTAGAGCAAATTTTTTATAAACTTTTTAATTCATTTAATGAGGTTAGATTTAAAAAGAAAAAATAGCGCATGTTTGTTTATCTCCTTCATAGCACTTTACTCAAATTTTAGCTCGGTTTTTTTTTCTTATATTACATGTACGTGATCTGGTGATAAAGTGTGTACTTTTGAAATCGATGAAACCCACAGTGATTGATTGAAACTTGTATTAAAAATCAAACTTATGTCTCTGATTCTAGAAGTGTGAGGCACTGGGCCTGATTGCAAAACATTGTTGAGATATGTATCAAAATGAATTATAGAGTGTGCAAGAGTTGAAAATATCTCGTGAATGTGTTAGGATCAGAAATTCAGGCAAAAATAAATAGAATCAGAAATTTTAACTTGACTTTTTTGTAGGTTCCATACAATCAGGTTCAGTTTCAGTGCGATCAAAAAGTTCGTCAGTATTCACTCCTAGTCATTGACCATCAGTTTCTTTTATAGACCATTGAGTAATGTTACTTGCTTTGTTCACAATGAAAGCTCGAATATACATAGCCTATTCATTCGATGCATGAATAATGCTTTTTAACATACATAGTTTCTTCCTTCTCATCAAAAATAATATGGTAGCAGTGCACGTAACATAACCATGAAACCATGACCTTTCATTCTTATTGTCTTTTTTTTAGTCTCTTCACATATGTTCTTATCTTCTATTCATTTAACAATTGAATTGATGTATTGTAAAAATATATATTTTTTCTTTCCTTTTATTCCTTGATATTATAATTCTTGAACTTATAATGTCATGTCACAAAGAAGTTGAATCAAAAAAAGACAAATGCATACAAAGTATTTTCATCGGACAAAAATTTTCACAAAAATCTTTTTTTCTGCTTATGAATTAAAAAATTCTTTTGAATGAATCTCAATCGTTCTTTTACAATCTCGATCTAAAATGAACTGGGTGTGGCTGTGGCTGTGATTTTGAAACTAGCACTTACATCCACATCCAGTTTCAGTTTAGTTTTTATATTCCTAATAATGAATATTATGACACTCATAAAATTAGAAAAAATGATGGAAAGTTCTACAAGAACTATTTTATGAATAAAAAGAGACTTGAAATTGGAATATGCAGTGACCGAAAATACTCTCTAATAAACAGAAAACATTTATGACGACTCCCGTTGAAGATAATCATTTTAAGTAAGCAGGTGGAGTTCTTTTTGTATCAAGCAATCAAAAAATAAAATGTTCTTTTATTGGAAGACGCAAATTTCTGAACTGACGCCGTGTTTTCCTTGCATGCATACTAATGAATTATAAGAAGTGAGTTCTATTCAATGATGAACGCGTTCAAACTAGACCAAAGAAATAGGTTAGGAAACTGCACCAACGCGTTTTTCTTTAAACGTTCTAACGCGTTCTAAAGCAGTAGCTTTTTTTTCAAATACGAGAGCGAATTACTTCTGAACAAACTCAAATACATTTCGTAAGACAGCATTGCTGTTGACGTGAAACTTTTTCGCTATTAACGTGTTCTTTTTCATTCATTTTTATGAATTTTTTTTCCATGGATATATTCTGACTACCAGCGAGGCATAAAATGAAACGACTGTTAACTATTAACTTTCCTTGCTTATCCTTGTCCATTTCCAATTTATGCGAGAATATGATTGTATTTGTATTCCTACGGTCGTTGCAAGATAAAGAAAAATAGTTCTCAAATTTTCGTATGAGAGACTATTCAACTTTTGGAGACGTTGTTTCCCAATTGCCACTGCGTGAATGTGTGAGTCTAGTTTGTCATTATTTACCAACACAACAAACATCAGTATATCAATTATATCAGCAGCAATTGGACATGCTGCATCATACTCAGGAACACTATGAGGGTGTAGATATAACTTTTTACGTGGGCACACCGAGAAACTGCTCGATACTTACTAATGATGTAAGCAATAGTACGCATCTTTTTATACGCTAACAAAAAGTTGTCAATTTGGTTGTCAACGCATGGTGCAACAAAGCAAACACACCTATGCTTGATGATTGTTGTTCCTTCTTGAAAGCATGTGGATGGAGTATATATGTAAATGAATTGCATGTCTAAATTCAAAATGGTAACGAAAAATGAGCCAGACGATAAAAGTATGAATTTTTTCCCTCGCTTCCTTTAAAACTCATAAATGACAGAGTGAAACAGTTGGTTTCTTCTGATTGTACTCGTGAAATAACATGTTTCGAGATGTTATTAAAGTTGCGAACGAAGATGTTGACATCATTTTAAGTTTGAATTAGAACATTCAATTTCAACTGGAGCCCCACCCACATCCATACACACTCCCTATCAAAACAAGTTCGTGGTTGAAACAAGTGTTGGTTTCTCTATTAAAATATTCAAATTCAATGGATTACTGACTACATCTTAAACATCAGACTACAATACATCTGACAAAGACAAGGAAATACTTCGAAAAGTGATCAAATTCAAAAATCAAACAATTAAGTCTCAAAGTATAATTTAAAATAGTCAAACAGTGTTAGACAATTTCTCTCTCTTTCGCTACCCTTTGAATTTTATACCTTGATATAGTTCAGTTATGATCATATATATTAAAAAGAAATGAGCAGAGTTTTCTTGATTTTGTAGGCTTCATTAATTCATGAACAATTAAATATAAAATGAAATAAAGAACATACATCAAATTAATGACCAAAAACTATGTAGATATTAACAGCAATATGAGAGAATTTTCAAGGCAAATTTATGTCATAATAATCGGCAATCTCGGCGGATGCTTCAATAAGATGTATTAACTTCTCAACGTCTGTCGGCTTGTCCTGCATTTACTCATTTATTTGTTTGGAAAATTTTCTTATTATATTTGCCAAAGCTCATTCTTGAAGCTCTTCATCGGCCCAAAAGAAGATCACTTGTGGAAAACTATTACACTTTGATTCATTCTTAATTACATTGAGAGTTTCGATGAATATGCCAAATGCAACTGAAAACTTACGAGGGAAGTACCCAAACTGTTTAAAAGCTTTTGAGTTCGGACTTTGTGCATAATGTAGACCCCAATGAGATATAGAAAACCTCAAAAGGACAAGTGCCTATAACTTTCTACGCAAAGTTATAGGTGTTTCACTCAAACTTTAGCGTATAGTACTGTATGCACTAAAGAATCGAATGATGATGTTTCTAGCTGAAATTTTGCTTACAGATAGACCTACTAGTAAATCGAATGTGCTGAAAATTTCAGCTCAAAAGAACGTTCCCTTCTCGAGATATTGAAACGCCCGAAAAAACATGAGGTTCTCGAATCTTTCGTGAAATATAAAACATTTTAGGAATTTGATATCTCATGAAGGAAGCATTCTTTTGAGCTGAAATTTTTAGAACATTCTATTTACTTGTAGACCTATCTGTAGGCAAAATTTCAGCTCGAAATATCATCATTCGATTCTTTAGTGCACACATTACGATAAGTTAAAATTTCAGTAAAACGCCTATAACTTTGCAGGAAAGATCTATGGGCACTTGTCCTTTTGGTTTTTTTTTATATCTCATTGGGGTCTACCTTATGCACAAAGTCCGAACTCAAAAGCTTTTAAACAGTTCGGGTGCTTCCCTTGTTAGTATCTTCACCATAGGTTGGCATCGACATATTAAGCCGATCCATATTGATATGAAAGTATGACTTGGGTGCTCGTAAGAGTCTGCTGTATACCCAAATTCACACCCACCATGAATACACACATGAAGATAGATGTTCATAAAATTTGATGTACTGCTTACTCGTATGCTAGATTTCATACTGTTCTTCAACTGTTGACAAAAGTGCAGTGAACTTTCGGCATTAGTTCACGAGTAGAAGGATTCTCTATTATTTAACAGCAATGATCTTCTATTAGAATAAAAGCTTTAAAATTTGATCTTATAATCCAGTACATAACACATGAATTAATTTTCCTAGTTATGAAAAAAGTGGAAAGTTATACCATAACTATATACCATTTTTATTAAAAATTTAATCAAAGAAAAATGAAACTCGAATAGTTGTCATTGAACGAATTTATTGTATGTCTAAAAGAAATAGAATATACTCATTTATTTGATTGACAAATAATCAATAAAGATTCAGCAAATTCTTCCAATGTCAATTTCGTTAATGTGAATGTATCGGCAATATCTAATCAATAATGAATTTATATATATATATATTCTTTCGAGTATATAATAACTTTTGATAGAGAATTTTGAAGTATTCTTGAAAGTCTTTCTGGAATACTTCAAAATATCAATAGAAAAAAAATGATATTATCTCGATTAGATCAGATCAAAACAAGCAAAATATAAAATATACCTACATACCATTTAATAGCATATTAAAGTTCGATTGATTCTATAAAATAAATTCAACTAATTATATTCAATGGAAAAATTGAATTATGTATTTAACTTACCGATCATACTTTTATCTTTTCTATAAAATAATTTATATAAAAAATTCCTTTTTAAACAGTTGTCTTCATTATTAACACAAATGTTTTCTGATGATTGATTTTCTTCCTGTAGTTTAGCAAAATTAACAAATACATCATCAAGTGTTACTTGTGTAACAGTATAATTTTCAATTATATTTCCTAATTCTTCTCGTGCTTTTTCTAAAACGCTAAACAGTTTATACAATGGAACATTCGTTGATACACGAAAATTTATCATTTTATTATGTTCTTCTTTAACATCAGCTTCTGTTATTCGTTCTTTTATATAATTAATAACATGTTTCGTATCACTATTAATATCTGATCGAACAAGTATACTATAACCATGGCCAAATCTTTAAACAGAATAATAAAAAAATTATTAAACAATAAATCAGATTCTACTTTGATTTTAAATGTTGTACACTACCAAGACATTTGAATTCTCCACTAACCATAATAACAAGACCTAAAAAAACAAGAGACCAATACATTCAAAATAAAAGATTAAACCTTCATACGATTGCATAATGTTTCACATTCTTCCATTGAATGAGATGTTATTACAACTGATTTATGATCTTTACGAGTTAATGTTAATATACAATTCCATAGAAATCTTTTCGCACGTGCATCCATTCCAGTTGTTGGTTCCTAATAATGATTATTAATTATGTTCTTTTTTTTTTTATAGAAAATATTTGATTCTTAAACTTACATCCATAAATATAATTGATGGATTACCTATAAGTGAAATAGCTGTTGATAATTTACGTTTATTACCACCAGAATATTGTTTTACTGGTCGATCAGCCCAAAGTGTAAGACCGAGTCGTTTTAATAAACATTCAATAATCTAAAAATTGATCTTTTCTTTTTATCCTTTCGTTTCAATGTAGATGCATTAACACTATAAATATATCATAGCTACAGATGTATTCCTGAGATGTAATGTGAGTCTATGCTTATAAGCAAACTACTCATTTTACTTTCAATGTGAATATATCCAACATACACATATGGTATTGAGGTATTCGTATTGGCTAATATTGGTACTAATACCAATACCAGTCAATACAAGTGACTGATGTAATTGTGTCTATAAATTTCTTCTACTTGATTAATAGTCTCATAATTTTTATTGGTTTTTACCTGTACCTAACTTCATTACACTGAGCACTAGTCAATACTAGGGATGCACCAGTACCAGTATTACTGGTGGACCAGTATACTGGTGAACCAGTATTACTGGTCACCAGTACTACTGGTTTACCAGTATTACCAATACCCAGTATACTGGTACTGATTCATCCCAACCAATAATTTAATCGAATATTTTAACTGATATAATCAAAAATACTGTCCCTAACTCTTTATCGTTTGGATTTATACTTACAAGTTGGACCTGGCACATAAATATAGTAGTCTAATTAGTGTTGACTAAAACAAAATCAGTGAATAGGTTGCCCTCGTAGCAGTAATCTTTCCTTATATAATTCTAATATGAGCGACAATTGTCATTGTTTACAACATATATATTTATTGCTTTCTTGATCGACTGACTTTTCGTACTATTTGATATGTTCAATATAGTTTTTCGAGCACAATGTTTTCTTGTACCTTGACTATGAATTGAATTAATGATGTTTTTTCTTCAAAAAAGATGAAAACTATTGAAANGTCAATTATTTTCTTATTTTAATTAGTCTTTCTTTTTTTATTTGCGTCGACAGATTCTTCCATTTACCTCTCTTTTAACAAAACATTTATTCTTTTTCCAAATAGCGACATTGAATGTTCAAGTACGCGGCGATATATTATAGTCTTGATATGAGTTTTGTTCGCCCATAGCTGCCGTTTTTCTAAATATTAAACAGGTGTTGCGAGTGCCTTGCATTTCATTTTAAATCCTAGTATAGCGTCAGGTTAGATTAATTTCTACAGAAAGTGTGGAGAATGAATTTTACTAGTCAAGAATATTATTACAGTAGAGTGAAATATTTTTACAACTCCGAGGACAAATTCAAATGATCTGAATGGTTCAAATGGATCGTTACGGCGCATTCAACCTAAGCAATCACTCAAACAGACTCAAGATAAGCCCTTTAGAAACATAAAACATGTTAAAACGGCCTTCAGCGAATTATATTTGATGCTTGTTCTGCTACAAAATTATCAGGTGCTCAATTCTGCTGCCTTCCGTAAAATATTGAAAGTCCATGATACCTTGTTTCAAACAACTAGCGGCGAAGAATGGCGGTAAGCTAAATTGATTTTTTTCGTTTTATGTTGAACAATTGAAGAGAACATCTCTACGAATATTTTCTTAAGTCATTCCAAAGTTAAGTTTCCTTCAATATCTTTGTTTCTAGAAACTGATAGGAAAATCGCTTAAAACTTTTTCAAAACACAGATTCCAATTATTTCCAAGCCATTTCAATGAATTTCGCTTCAAAATAAAACTACAATTATATGAAATGCGACAATAGTATCTCTTCATGAACTAGAGCAATATTATATAAAACGATTCTTAATCTCTCATATTTTTGTATCGGATAAAATGTTGCATAATGCTTGAAAAATAGTATCATGCAAAATCGACATGGGCATATGTAGAGGAGATTTCTTACGATGTAATGCTTAGAAATGTGTGTGTCTGTGTTTAATTTTGTTTTTGGCTATCTTGAAAAATCCTGAGATACAATACTGGTTAAAAGAGTCATTCTCTCTGAAGTAGATAGTAGCATTTGCCATTTATGTTCATGACGAAATTTATAAGTCCGATTTTCAAATGACCTATAATAAAAAGTAGCCATATTTCTTTTTTGTCCTGAAAATAAATCATAAATTTAGTACGCTTTCTAATAGCAAATTGCACATTGAGTCAACTTTATTTTATGCATCGACTACGGTAACTAAACTTATTCAAAATGTGGAAACAATATACACTGATATACTCTTGGATATACTCGAATCGGGTGATCGAGAACGCGCAATGAAACGCCTTCGTGTCCCACCACTCGGGCAAAACGAATCCTCAATGGCGACATTTCGCATTGGATAATTTTCTGGTAGGATATTTCACTTGTTTTACGCTGTGTTTTATGGATAATCAAATACATAGGAATGTTTTGCCTATTACTGCCGACGGTGTTCGCATTTGGACTCCATTTTAAAGAAAGTCAGTCGGAAAAATCGCTCGCCTGGCGTGAAGGTCTACTTCTCTATCGTTCTACTTGTCTGATCATCATCGAAATTATTATGGTTGGTATAAATATGTATGGTTGGTCATCGTCCGGTGTCAATCATGTACTCATATTCGAAATCTATCCACGTAATCACTTAACTTACCAGCAATTACTCGAAAAAGGAATATGCTTTTTGGTTCTCTGGTTCCTTAGTCTTATTGGATTCATTGTCTCGTCCTATCTCGATTTTTATCCATTCATACAGCCGCTTATATTTGCTGCACTGATGATTCTCTTTCTAATTAATCCGACACCAATATTTTACCGTCAGGAACGTTTCTGGTTTTTACAAAAGTTGGCAAAAGTTATTGCGGCACCATTTTATCAAGTTGGTTTTGCCGATTTTTGGCTTGGCGAGCAGTTGGCATCGCTCGAGCTTTTCTTTTTCGATCTTGAATTCTTTTTCTGTTTTTATACTTCTGATCATAGTTGGTGGTCATCAAATTTAACAGTGTCGTCATCATCCCGAGGCATATTTTGTACTGGTTGGACAAGAATACTTCTACAAACGTTTCTACTTATATTGTCATTCTGGTTTCATTTTGCACAAAACCTACGACGATATCGTGATACCAATCGCGTAACTCTTCATCTTGCTAATGCAGGCAAGTCTGCAACTGGCTTCTTTGTTGCCATAACCAATTCACTGCGACGTGCGACCGCTGAAACATATTCTAAGCGACCAACAGCGAATCCATTTCTTTATTTATGGATCATCGCATCAATTGTTGGTACCACATACAAACTCTTGTGGGATCTCAAAATGGATTGAAGCTTTTTTTGCAAAAAATGCCGGCGAGAATAAATATTTACGTGATCATATTGTTTATTCATCTAAAGTCTACTATTATGCTACCATTATTGAAAACATTATTTTCCGATACATTTGGGTAATTAATATATTTGTGCATTTTCATACACAATCAGCTGAATATTCTGATGTAATCGGTTTTGCCTTCGGTATTATTGAGGTATTTCGAAGATTTATTTGGAACTTTTTCCGATTAGAAAATGAGCATATGAATAATTGCGATGAATTTCGTGCCGTTCGTGATATTTCAATAGTACCAATATCAACTGATATCAATTTTTCTTTGATCGACTATAAAATGAGCAAAGAGCCAGGTATTCGAAATCGACGCAGAACAGTGAAAAATGAAATTATCTCTGATGAAGAAAATACCACGATCAGCAGCAGAATAAGCATGACAGCGAACGAACTGGAGAATAATGCAATAGTTGTAGACTTGAATCAAATGTCAACATCTGACACTGCGACAGCAGAACAAGTGAATGAGTATGTTACATCAAGAGTTCTGTCTACGAGCTTCGGTTCGTTGTCCTCACAGAATGTTCTTAGTTCATCATATTCAAATTTTCGAAGCGACACCATTACTGAATTGCTAACATATTCACAATCTACGTAAAGTAACTTGGAAATTGCTGTATTCTTCTAATTTACTATTCCTGCCCATTGCATATGTTTATTTATTTGCTCACTTTCTGTGATCAAATTATTGTGTATCTACTACTGTTTTACCATTATTTGTGAGAAAAGAAGATGTATATAGCAACGCTGACCTTTTTTGGTCGTTCATTTGATAAACGGTACTGATTATGGATGAGTTTCATATTTATATTCCATTACTGTAGAACTTAAGGACTTGCTTTAGTTGAAAAATAAATCTACAAATGTATGCAGATTTCTCGCCTGGACTCCACATAGGCCAACTCAATAGTCTCGGTGCTCATTGAGCGATACCGATTAGTTATTCCCTTTGTTTTCCGATCAACCTCGATTCCTTTTTTTCTTTATTTTGCTTTTCCCCGTAGGACTTCTCGAACTTCTGTTCAACGAACTGATCAATACTATTGAGAAGAGTTATTCATTGAGTCAACTCATCGAGTTCTTCCAATATGATGAAAAAAAGTTCATATCTCTTTGGTTGGTATTAACTAAAAGCAGACATGAATAAATCTTGACGAAATGGAATCTTAGTAAATTTAATTCCAAAAAGATTTTCCTAGATCAGATCTCGAAATCGATTTCGTTTTGAGCAAACAAAAGTGCAACTTTGTCTTGCAAATACGAATATCTTACTCATGTCGTTTTCGAGAAATAGACCAATATCATTCGCACTACATAGGTTTTTCTATTCACCAATCCATTATCGCCCCAAGACTAATTTGAAGGTTTCTCGAAGTTTATGTGAGTTCATTGAGTATTCGATACCTCTATTAGAATGATTTTATACACTTAACAAAGAGAACAAAAGTTATCGATTACTCTATTGTCCGTTCAAGTTTGCCTCTTTATAATATGTAATTAGAATATCAGTGTGAAAAAGCTTGTTAGCGCAGCCCTTCTGGGTCTGAAATGTGGAACTCACATATACTCTCTACTTCCATTAAACTAATATAAAATACGTAAAGTGAAAAACCTCGAATAGGCTATAGCTGTTTTTCACGATAATCGATATGTAGAGTAATGATCTATCTAATTTCTGCATTTCTAACGGATTTTTTTTGTTTTCATTGTTCCTATTCGCTCATTATTTTTCTTTCTTTTTTTTGAGTCGTTTTTCTTAATTTAATATTCTCATTATTATAATCATTGAATTAATTGATAATATAAGTCTGTTTTATGTATTCCTGATATCTACAGACGATCTTACATATTATCATATCTATTAATCAACTCACGGATAATGATGTTCATTATTCTTCAAAATTATAAGTTGATCGATTTTACAAAAAAAAACTTTAGAAAAAATAAGGTCTGTAAGGGGTGGGGAGAAGGGAGGGGGAGCCGCAAAAACTCGAACTTAACACTTACACTCACTATTTTCTTCGAAAATATATGTGAGTTCCACAAAATATTTTATTCAACAGTAATTGCTACCGATTTCGCAAGTCCTCAACATGGAACCGTTGAAAATTCGACAAATTGGAACACATAATTTCTCTCTTAAATGTATCGAAATGATGGTTATCATCACATGATTATAAGCAAGTTTCAACAATGATACGACAGTGAACCGATTTATATTTATACCCATAGAATTTGGATCATTATTGGATGATAGGACTATACTGATAACAGATCGTTTTCATATACAAGTTATTGACTTATGGGTTGAATCCATTGGAAATTTTGGCAGAATATCTATATTCAATTCCCGTCAGTCGCCTTGACATTAAATGCTCTATTGAAAGATTTGATTGTTTTCTAACTATGTGTTTTCAATTGTGTATTGATGTAGTTCATAAAAAATAGATTTTGTTTTGTTTTTGTGTACTCAACAAGTGAGTACACTCTAGAATCGGTCAGTGTGTCCGGCCGTTTACACGATAACTTTTGAAAGGAGAGTCCGATCACGATGAAATTTTCTACACAGTTTAGTCTCAACAATATCTCGGTCGAGTTCGAAGATGAGAATGATTGGCCGAGCCATTGTTGAGTTATTGCAAAAATAGTCATTTTTCCCTATGCTTTCCTATGTGAAGATCGACCTATCCCCGCTTTCGCAAAAAACTTTTCCTATCATAGTCAAATAAAACCCCAACTANGCTCTTATAAACTATTCATTTTCTTATTTATTAATAGAAAAAATAACGGTATTTATGTTGTTCTATTTCTGTATCTCTTTTCCAATACAAACATTAATATGTTTCTCTAATGATTAATGAAATTCTTGTGTTATATTTTGAATGAGTTAAAAGATGAATTGGTGTCGAATAACCATCAATAATAGTAAATGCTCCTGATATTGATAATAAACCATAAATTATTATTATCGAATAAAAAAATAAACGACAAACAAATAAAATTGAATTACGTTTTTATTTCATTAAACGAACAAGATGTGAAATTAAATTCTAATTTATAAAAAAATAAATAAAATTTTTTCTATTTAAAATAAATTACTTCGAATTATTCGATACTAATTGAAGCAGTAAGAATTATTAATGGATATATTGAAAATACAAAACGATCATCCAAAAATTATTTTTTGTATCCTATATTGTATTTTAAATTTAATATTATTTAATTTATGTTGTTGTATCCATAAAAGATTCATCCACATAACTATTAATGATATTATCATTATATATGAAATTGCTACTTTTCATATAGAACATTTCGTTTTCTTTGATTTTGTTTTCTTCTTTTTCAAGAATTTTTACCTGATTATAAATAACATCAATTAAGAAAAATATCAATAAAAACCTTAAAAAAAAACAAACCATGAAAAATAAATATTCCAAACCATAAATTTTATTACTTTAAAAATATTTCCAAGTATTGCTAATGGATAAATAATATTAAAATTAAGTAAACCATTTATAATATAATATGTCCATGGTTCAGTACCTAATCAACAAAAAAAATTTCTTAACGATATTATTTTTTTAGTTGATTTACCATAAAGAGTTGGACCATGTTTTGATAATAAATTATAACGAATATGATTTAATGGTGTTATTACTAATTTTCCATAATAATATGAATCAATTAAAGTTAACGGAATCTTTAAATAAATTAAATAATGAAGAAAAAAATTTTCATATTTAACTTACTAATGTTATTAAACCAGATATGATACTCCATTTTATAAAATCAATATAACGTTGACGACGAAATACTATATCAATAGCTATTGGAATACTTAACAAAATAAAATAATTTAAAAATAAAAAGAAATTAAAAAAAAAACAAAAAAAACTTCTATAAATACCCAAGTACAGCAACATAAATCCATCCACATAATGATCCAAAAGCAATAAAGAAAACTGACAACTATAATATGAATATTAATCATATTGAAGAAAAACAAAAAAAAAACCTTTTTTTTTCTTACTGATAATGCATTAGAAAACCAACATGTATAAGCAAACAAAACCGTATACATTGAAAATGAATTATTAATAAAAGCACTACTACTTCGAAATAAAGCCACATTTAATATTGATAATAAGACATATGTACGAGCTATAGAGTTATTCAATTGTTTATCAATTGCACTAAAAATTAATATTTGACTCTTCAAATTTTCCTTATTTTTATAATTTATATTTTTAAAAATACTTTTAAAAGAGCAAAAGAAATCAATTTTCTTCTTTTAATGAATGTGTCTAATATTCTTCCGATAAATGAAATCAAATGCTTTTGTTTTAAGTATTATTATTTAGAAGAAATCTGCTGAAGAACGATATAAACCTAATTATATTATTTGAATAATATATTTGATTCTTTCAATCTCAAGTCATTTATCTCGAATTAATTATATAAATATTTTTATAATAAAGTGATGCATGTTACTTTCTCATCAATGTCAAAGTCTAATTGCAACGAATATTCTATTTATATTTCTTCCGTTTTTACAGCTGCTTGCAGAAAAAAAACTAACAATTTTTGCTTTAGAAGTATTTTCTTTGTATAGATCTTTATTTCAATTGTTTCATCTCACAAATAATATATTTCAATGAGCACTACTATTTAGTAGAAAAGTTCTACAATTTTCGACGAGAGACAGAAAAAGTCAAAACCAAACATCTCCAAAAAAAGTCTTGCGATTTCGCTATTGAACAATAGTATTTTTTATTATCTATTAATTTTTGTTTTATATCAGAAGGAAAATAAAAAAACATATTTAATGATAATTTTCGTAGCGCAAAGAATGCTTTTTTCAATAATGTTTTGAAAGTTAAATTTACTCTTGCTTTTTATACCAAATTATAGATTTTTCTAAAAACAAAAAACTCAGTTTGACCTTTTTCTCCTTGTTAAGTTTCTTTTAGAAAACATTGTCTCGTACAAAACTTATAATTCAGACATTTCACTGTCTAAAAAAAAAATATTTCTTGATTCAGAAATCATCAATATGATATAACAGAGTTTGAAGTTTTTCCCAAGACTTTTGGATTGCATCATAGATAGTTGAACAATGTTATGTATCTCTATTTCATCTATTTTTTTAAAATTACGACGAATATATTAACTAACAACTGGTTTTTTTTTTCTTTGATACGAAATTCATATCATAGATTTTTTCTTCTTCAATATTTAACAAAATTTATTTATTTTAATTTATTAATATTTATCAACAGTAATTTTCCCATGTAAATATTTGTTTCATGTATGACAAAAAAATATGATCTCACAGCTTTACTTCAATAATTCAATATTAATAAATAATATTTATTTTAAATAGTAGAGAATCGTATATCTCTGCATTTATATATTGAAAATAATTCCATCCTCATTCGATTATATATTTATCCATCTAACAATAAATAACCATTGAAAAAATAAATTCTAGATTTATCCTAAAAAAAACCATGAAAACACTAGATGAAAAAGTATCTAATTTTATGTAAGATTTTCTTTTAAAAAATTTGGTTAATATTTCTATTTTTAGAAGTTGTATATATATATTCTAAAATAAAACTTATAAAATATAAAATACTAACCGAAAAAAGAAAGCTTCACATGTTGCACAAACAATAGCAAGACAAACACGAAGAGTATAGAATGAGATCAACTAAATATTTTTTGAAATAAACCAAAACTGATTTAAAAAAAAAAAAGAAAATAATCTCACTTTAAAACTAATAGGAATAAAAGAAATCGGTAACCAATGAAGAAGAATATAAGCATAAGAACGAAGTGCAAATAAAGGTGAATATTCCCATGTTTGAAAACCATTTCCATACATTAATTTGTGTAACTAAAAATCAATAAATTATTTTTTGTTTTAATTTATGATTTTTATTAACCAATTAATTATTTCTTTTTTTTTTGTTTCTCTTAAACTTACAGGTTCATAAAAATTGAAAACTTCATCACAATCATCAATTGGATTGAAAAATGCACTTATCAATCTCATAAGAATAAAGTATTTGAATACAGATGATAAATTATTCATCTGATTCTCAAATCGCCATGAAAACATCTACAGTGAAGGATCACTTTACGAATTTTGTTAATATATTTTCTTTTTCTTCTTGTTATCCAATGTAAGAATGAAAAAAAAATGATAGAATACACAAAACGCGTTACATTGACAAAGACGAGACGCGAAAAAAAGAACAAACAAGACAAATAACAACAAATAAGTATTTCTCTTATATATTTCTCTCTTTTTCCTTCTCTCTCTTTTTTTTTAACAAAGTTTATGAAAACCTTCATCTGACATGACGCACACATACTGTAGAATAGAGGCCTTTCGACATATTTTAACACACACAAGAAAAAAACAAACAAACGAGAGAAAAGAGTTAACAAATAAGAGAAATTCTTGTTTATTTGTTTTTTTTTTTTTTAGAGACAAGTTTTATTTAACAAGTCTTTTATGATGATGATGATGATGACAATTGAATGAAAACAAAGAAAACAAGAAATTATACCTAATGAAAATGAAAGAGAGACACACATAGTTTTTGTTGTCTAGAAAAAAGAAAAAACAAAACAAAGAGAGAACACGGACTAGAAAGAGAGAAGAGGCGAGCGGACACGTCATTCCGGTGGGTGAACAATGAGAGGCTAAGACTACCACGACATATGTATGGCACAACATCGAATAAACAAACAAAAAAAAAAAAACAGGAAGAAAAAAAAACTCGAGAAAAGAAAAGAGTTAAGTTATAGTTATGATGATGGTTCACGTAATAATTGTTGTTGATTTAAATTACTCATCAATTTTTGACGTATTTCTCTAATACGTTGATTTAATAAACGTCTCTTTGGAAATAATTCTTGATTTTCTAATTGAAAAGATAATATTGCTGAATCTAGAAAAATAATATTAATTTTATTTTTAGGAAAAAACAAAACTTCTTGTTTTATTTATTTTTACCGGTGGGATAAAGATGATCTTTTAAAAAATCAATCACTTTTAATCTTGATGCTAATTGACTTTTATTTATTGTTTGACCATTTGAATATGTTGAACAATTTGTTTGACGATTTGAATTTGCTTTTATATATTGAATTTTCATTTCTATTTTAAAAAATAGTTTCTTTTTCTTTTTTTGTTAAATTTTATTTTAAATATAAAATAAATAATATTACCATCTAATTGTTTTATATAATCAATTGTTGTACGTTTTATTTCACTTTCATTTTGTTCCATAACAATTGATGCTTTTCGTTTACGTGTCACTATTGGACACGATTCTGTATTAATACTTGTACAACTATTTCCTCCTACACGTTCACTTATACTTTGAGATCGAGTTGTTGGACGTTGTAAACCCTAAATTAACAAATTATTTTTCAAATAAAAACAAATTCAAATATTCATTAATTAACAAGATCTTTAATAACAAATTAATATTAATAGAGATTTTTTTTTTCTTTTTATAATTCAATAAAAGATAAACTTTCGAAAATTAATCTTGTTTTATTTTACTTAATAATATATAATGTTGGACATTGGTAAAACGTGTCATAAACATATGTTAAATAGGAGTTATTTATTATAGAATATTTAGTTGATGAAAATATCACGAATAGATTGATTAATGTTGCTTAAGAAAAGAATATTGTTACATATACAATGTATGAAGGATGATTTTGACTACAAAGTTATTATTCATCTTCTTATGTTTCAACTGAAAAATTTTATATATAAACCGATGCATTTATTGGTGATGATGGCTATGAAGATCTCAGGCTTAAAGGAGAAGAGGGAAGGAGTCTAAGGGGGGAAAGTGAAAATATATTTAACTTTTGTTAACCTTTCATTAGCAATAGATAAATATATTTCATGCTCAAACAATAGTTAGAAGCATTCGATACTCTTTTTCAAAAGATTTTTTCTAGTTCGATGAATAATTGAAATGAAGAAAAGAAGAAAATTTATTATGAAAAACATTATAATGAGAAACTAAACAAGAAATATCTCTGAAAAGCGACTTTCGATGCCAAAAACTTTCCAAAATGTCGAATCTATTTTAATGTCATGGTGCCTGTTAGTTTTATCAACTATTTAAGGTTAGATCAACGATGGCTCATCTAATAAAATTTCAATTCTATTTATAATATCGAACTTCTTGAATATAAAAGACAATTGAATCTTTGTTAAATTTTCCGAAATATGCAATAGATTGTTTTAATTTATTAAATGATTTAATATGAATTAATTTATATTTTTGTTTTTGTTTTTGTTTTTGATTGATATAGAAATAAATTAAAATCAAACCTCTAAAGTAATAGTTTTTCTTCGTTTTGTTAATGGTTTATTATTAATTGTATCTAATTGTTCTGATGTTGATGGTAATGGAGATTGTTGAGATAAAATATTTAATTTATATTTATTTTCATTTAATGAAGTTAATTGTGTAACTTCATCATCAGTTGTTGTTGTTGGAAAATTCATATTTGTTTCATTTATTGTTGGTAAATATTGAAGTGGAATTTGTTTTAATGGTGTTGGAGATGTTTTACTTCTTTCAGATAATGAACTATTTGAACGTGAACTATATGCTGATAATATTGTACTATTACTATCTAAGGAAGATGATGATGATGATGATGAACCACTTGAATAACCAGTTGAATTACTTGATGATGATGATGATGATGATGCTAAAATAATCGATATTAATTAAAAATAAAATTTATCTTTTTTATTTTGTTTTACCAATTGAATGTGTTATAAAATGATTTTGAGAATTATGAAAAATAAAATTTCGTTGTTGATGTTCATCAAAAGAAAAAGGTTTAATTGTAAATGATTGATTTAAATTTAATCGATCATAATTATCATTAATTAAATTCTGATTACTGTTCAATTCAATTGATGAATTTGAATATGTTGGTAATATTGGAGATTGTGATGTTGTTGCTTTATTAATAGGATTTGTTGTTGATTGTAAATGTTTTAATTGTTGTTCAAGACTAAGATTTGTTTTACGTTGATTAATTAACATTGATACAATTGTACGATATGTTTCATTTTCATTTAATGTTGATGAAGAATTTTCTCGTTTTAAATTAGGAGAATTTGATAATGAATGACTTTTAATATCATCTTCATTTGAATTAAATGATGGATGAACACGAAATGCTGTATTATGATATTGAAATATTCCATTTTGAGATATATCCATTTCTAAATTTATTTATTTAAATAATATAAATATTTAATTTTTAATTTTCGAATCATTGTTTGATATAGAAAAATATTTTCAAATTTATTTTTTATTTTTTTTTATTTTTTAAATCTAATCGTTGTTAATGATTATTTTTAGTAGTAAAGTTGAAAAGAAATAATTAAATAAATATATTATTTTTGATAAGATTTTGAAAAAGTTTTTTTTTTTATAGAAAGACAAAAATCAATGATTAAACAGTTTTTAAGAAGAAAATGATTAATTTCATCAAAATTTAATTAGAAAGTAATATGTTTGATAAAGAAAGAAAGAAAGAAAGAAAGAATAGATCTTACTGAATTATATTGTGTTATCTCTTCTCTTGGATTTTTAAAATTATCTTTTTTTTTGTATTTGTTGAAAAAAAACAAAATATCTATTTGCTGTTTAATATTCGTTTATGAAAATATAAGTTTTCTCACTGAAACTAATGCTCAAATTTATAAATATTTATTCTAATATATATTCTCTAATAAGGTAAGAATGTTTTTAACTGAAATATGTTTCGATTAAATTTTTAAAAATAACAGTAAAGATATGATAAGATTACTAAATATATGTTTTTTTTTTTTTTGTTTTGTTTTTCTTTACCATTATTCAAATTAATATTTGTATTAAAATCTGCTTGATTTTGATTGATAATTAATGTTGGAGTTGAATTTCCATGAATAGGTACAGGTGTTATAAGGTTTGTTAATGTTGATTGATTATCTGATGATGGTTTTGTTATAGGAGAAAAACGTTGTGTCGATTCTTCAGTCAATTTAGGCATATTTGTACAAATCTA